GTCAGATCACTGAAGCTCGCTGTTCCCGCCTCCAGCGGGGAAACTTAGTTAGACTGTTTCTCTGGAACTCTCTCTTCCGCACGGCTGCCTTCTCTTCTCATATGGAGAGGGCTATGATCGCCTAGCCCGACTTCCTCTGCCCCCGTCAGTTCTCACTGCGCCTCACCATCTCCCTCAAGCGAACAATCACCCACACAAGCTCATCCACCTCGTGGATTCCCACTCCCCTCGCTCACGCAGAGTAGCCGTCCGAGAGCGGACGCTTCTGCCCCGATGTCGGACGCAGGTACACCTTGCTCGCATTCCTGGGCCCCCCCCAGCGCCGTCTGCCCTGGCTCTTATCTCTTGCCACACCATTCCCCGCTTAGCATCCAATCTTCGATAGATCATCACCCACACGTACGAAACGTGCACCATGCCCAGTGAGCTCTACCTCTGTGCACGCCGTGCACGCTAGTCCACGCTCGTTCCAATTCCCCCCCGTTGTCTCGCCCCCCGGGTCTTTTATCTCCGCGGCCTTAGCTGCGGGTACCAGTAAGGCTCACTGCCCTCCTGACTCTCCAGTACCCAGCTCGAGACGGAATGGTGTCATTGGTTCCAGCGGTATAAGGCCTACGGGTCCGGTGTACCTGTCTCCAGCAGCAGTAATCCCGTTGGTACCGCAGTCTTGACCCGGTAGTCTGGGATCATAGCCCAGCGGTTCCATGAGTTTCATGATCACTGTCCGAGTGAATTTTCCCCCGGACCGGATCAAGTACTGTACCATGTGATAACAGCATCGGCTTCAATGGCCCCTCTCAGCTACGAACCAGCAACCTTGCAGAAACATAATAGCTCCGGACTGCAGTGGCTGCACCGGTACCAGATCAACGCCAAGGTCGAACCACCGTCCATATCAAAACAAAAGAGGCAGACTGGAACACACCCCCCCGGGGCCGCGTCGTGCTGTCGTCAATTCAGTGTCTGTGGCCAGGAATAAGTGTGCCAGAATCGTGAAAACTAACACCGTGTCAACCTTGTAGCGTTAAATTGCGGCCTGTACCATCACCATACCTGGGCCGTACCTGTCCCAGCAGTCTTACCAATTCCGAACCTTCAAACAAAAACTAGTCTGCAATGCCATACCAGTCCGAACTAGCGGTCATTCCGGCCGTCTCGACAACGAATAGAAGTAACCCGTACCGACACCGTCCCAGTGAAAGTACTAAGCCAACTCCAAAACAGCAACATGGTCACAGAATATAGCACCCTGCCGGCTATGGTCCATGTCAATACCAAGCAGAACGTGCCGAACCTGAATCGCCACCCAGAATTTCAACAGCCTGTGCCGTCGTCACACCAGTCCGATGCCGAATACCGTTTTGTGGATAATGTCTTGTCACTGCACCGAACCTTCCCTTTTATTCTGCCTCCTGAAATGACTTGCATGTGGGTTGTGAAGGCACACGGGGATGCCGAACTTGTATAACCGTGCCATGTTAATTACGTACCTGTCCTGATCCTGGCATAGAATGCCGCTACGTTTTCGAACCTGAAAACTAACTACCGCCAAGGTTCCAAACATGGAATAATTGTCGTAGTGGCCCCGGTCCTGGAAGTAAATCACCGCAGCTGTCCCAAACCTGAAAATAAGTCACCGTAGTGAGACAGCTGTTACCCGGCCCATACCGTACCTGAAGCACATCAGGCACCGTAGGACGCAGCGACTCCGTAACAACCCTCGTATCCGTACCGAACCAAACACCATAGTCGACCCAAGGCAGCACCACCCCATGCTGTTCATGCGACTCCTGCTCTCAGAATATCTCAACCGCGGTAATGTTAGTAATCAAGCAAACCAGGGAAAGCGATGCAGCGAACCTCGACCATCGGCAGCAGTGAAAACTGTTAAAATCCGGGGAAAAATGTTCAATCCGGGCTCTGAGCTGATGGCGGGTAATCGAGCCGAAATTRGRCCGATCTCCCAATAGTCATGGGTTTCCGTCCCCTTTCATCGTTTTTAATCGTTCTTCGTTTTCCTCAATTCTATTGTCTGAAATAGTAAATTAACCGTAAATTTCCCAAAATTAAATTCCGAGAGAGAGTTTGGATAAATGGCCGAATCCCTTGTCTCTTTTCTCTTTTACCATCTTTTAATATTTTTCCATGTTTTAAATTTCATTGTCGATTACATAAAATAACAAGGGTTTTCCTCCTAGGATTAAATGCCGTGAAAAATAAAGAAATAAGGAATATTATGTTTTTCTCTTCTCCCTTACTGGTCTTAATCTCTCTTCCCCATCTTTAATTATGGTACTAAAATAGACAAAAATTTAAGGCCTCATCACAGCCCCGCTCGTATGCGGCAGAAACGTTGTGGCGAGGTCAGTTCCCCCGATGCCTCCCCGCGGCAGACCATTTCGGGTCTAGCCCTCTRAACGGCCAGAAATGACAGTCCCTAGACATGTCGAGTGCGGCCACCCGTCTCGCCATCTTTGAGGATTACTCGCAAGGCTCAGTGCGCCCAAAATCAGGGGTGCCCTGAGTTCCCCTTATTTTTGCTGCCTGGTCATATGAGAGTATCATCAATTCACGGACTTGTCCCGGAGCCTAAGTCCCAAAACTGCAGATTTCAGGCGGCGCACTGCTTGTGGCCGCCTGACAACGCGTTGTCGCGCGTGCACATACGCACCACCCGTGCACCAGCGGGGAGGAGAAGCGCGCTGTCGCGCGCGCACACGCGGGCCCCACGTGCACCAGCGGGAAGGAGAAGCGCGTTGTCGCGCGCACACTCACGGGCCGCCAGCGCGCCAGCGGGGAGGAGAAGCGTGCTGTCGCGCGCGCATTCACGGGCCGCCAGCACAACAGCGGGAAGGAGAAGCGCGTTGTCGCGCGCACATGCACGGATCACCTGCGCACCGGCGGGAAGGGGGGGCGCGCGCCTGCACAACGGATCACCAATGTATTTAATGGACATGAAGGGCGCGTGGTTGTGCGCATATACACACGATCTCTAGCGCGCAGTAGGGAGAGGAGCGGGGTATCCTGCGCGCATACACGAGCTGCAACCTCGCACCCCCGCGGAATAGCGGAAGGGGGGCCGCGCCCATCAGCGGGTGCTCTCGCAGTCACGCAGGTAGCGGGGAGCAGATTCACGCGCCAGTACAGACACTGGTGTGGGCGATGAGGGCGGCACGGAGATCGGGACGACGGGCGCCTAGCGCGTTTGTGACACCTATGAGGAGGGCCATCGAGAACTACCGGGATACGAGCATCAGCCACAGTCACGTTACAGGCACTCTGCAACATCCGGACACCACGCAAGGCGGCATCTTTGGGCACACCTCTGGGTCACCGGGCCGAACTGACCCTCTAATCGGGCTCGGTTCATCAGACGGAGCGAGCCTTTTGGGTGCGGAGGGGACCTCCGGGCTGATCGGTTCTTTTTAGACGAGGTCAGCCCGCTGAGGGCGACGGACCTTTAGGCACGGTCAGATCATCGAGCGGGCCGAACAGGGCCTTTGAGCGCAGTTGGAACATCGGACCAAACAGGGCTTTGGGCCGCATTCGGAGTAACGGACGGACCGGGCCTTTACGGGACACGGTTGGGACGGCGGTCGAGACGGGCTCTTTCCGGGGATATCGTGCTCCGCGAAAGGGCACGATCCGAACAGGGCTCCACAAAGGGGCGCATTCTGAACAAGGCTCCTCGAAGGGATGCTTTCCGAACCGGGCACTCCGAAGGGACACTTTTCCGAGTCGGGCTATCCGAAGAGGAACACCCGAATAGGGCCCCACGAAGGGGGCACATTCTGAACCGGGCTCAACGTAAGGGTGCATTCCGAACCAGGCTCTCCGAAGGGACACTTTCCTGAACCAAGCTTTCTGAAGAGGTACTTTCACGAACCTGGCTTTTTGAAGAGGTATTTTCCCGAACCGGGCCTTTGAAGAGGTACTTTCATGAACCTGGCTTTTTGAAGAGGTATTTTCACGAATTGGGCTTTTGAAGAGGTACTTTCACGGACGGGGCCTCTGAAGGGGGACTTTTCTCGAATCGGGTTCTCCGTTAGGCATGGTCACGACCAACCTTGAGCTATGGCCTCGATGGGCGAGGGAGGATACATCTAACCCGGAGAGCTCAAGCTCTATTCCATGGGACAGGCGAGCTCGGTATTGGCGGGCCCTTGTCGGAAGGAGAGTTAGGCAGAGGCCGTCCACTCGATCTGTGGGCACCTAAACGGATCCCACGCGTATAGATAGGGGGACTTCACTTGAGATCGAGAACTGTGTTGAACGTCCTATTGTACTTGACTGAATGAGAACTCTTGTATTTATCCTTTTCGTACCTACTCCTTGAGACTTGTGTCATGAGGCATGGAGTCAGTCAGAGTTGTACTTTGTCGCAGATGTGTACTGACGTGGATTGTGCAGGTTACAGGAGCCCCGACCAACCCTCCCATGGGTGACAGACGCAGCGCGAGACATAGGGTTTGTGTTGGAGGCCGGTAGAGCCCTCTACCGGTCGACACCGTACCAATGGTGCGTCATCATTAACGCCCATTGATTAACCCGTCTGTATATACTCCAAACCCAGAGGTATCTCCTCGGTCTCAGGCAAAGCATCCTCGGTCCTCTGCCCGTCGTGAAGAGGCAAGTCAGGCACTGGACGCGGGTCGCCTAGTGTGGTGAGCGCAGTCGCATGCAACCCCCTGCCTCCCACGGCACCCCCGCTACTGTCCCTCCACCCGTCTCAGATCTACCGTCGCCGCCTCCGGCTGCCTCCCCATGCAACTCTGCTGATGTCCCCGGGCCTGCAGCTGCCTCCCCCTGCGTCCCTGCCGAAGTTGGCTGGAGCACAACTACCTCCGCCTGCGTCTTGTAGCGAACCTGTGTCATCGGGTCGACGTGGCCGGCCGCCTATGCGTCAGGGGGCAACTCCTTAAACGTCCCCAACTGTCTCTGTCGCTCCTCCATCGCTAGACAGGCCAACTCCTATGTCTTGAAGTCAGCTCGTGCCGGGAGGCAAGTTCGACGACTATTGAGTCTATCCAACCTCTCTGCCGATGTCTCTCCAGGGGGTGTGGCCTCCTCGTCTCTCTCTATCTCCGTTGGCGGCGCTCCTAACTCTCCGCGCATGGCAAGGGTGAAAGTCTCTGGCTGCATAGCGCTGATCTGCTCTAATATGGCCTGCATGCCGGCAGACACGTCCCCCCGATAATCGCTCTCTCCGGGCAGCAGTCCCAAATCACCAATCTGACTAAAACCTCCTCTGCCACCCATCGACAGCCTGTCAGCAACACCACCCCCAACAACCTGCGTCTGAACCGCCTCCTGAATTGGACTGCGTCCATCTCCTCCGAATGGAGGAGTACGTCGACCAGTCGGCCTCTCCACAACTCTCTCGACCCTCTCAGTCGGTAAAGAACCGCCCACCAATCTTTTCTCTAATCGTTGTCTTGGCCCCTTCACCATTCTATGCAATCGCCCTCTCGGGGGCGAACCTCGATCAAGCTCACCTGACGGAGGGGGATCAACGCCAGATGCATAAAAGCGCCTGATTCATATTCATGTAAAAGAGGCCGGGGGTGGTTTGCACTGGTACCCTTGAAGGATAGAATTGAAAAAGAAGGGCCCCACCGGTTCATGAATCTGGCGCAAAAACAGTGTCAAGTTCAGGAACAGGTAAAAACAGGCCAAGGGAGTTGTGGCCAAAGGCCTCTTCCACCCAGGCTGAAGACATTTGTGCCGGTAGTACCAAATGGCCGAACTTTGGGCGGCCAAAACCGAAAACGTTTTGGCGTGGGCGCTTTCTACCAATTATCCCAACTAAAGCTCCCCAAAAGTAGATCGAACCTTCAACGCTGGCATCCACTGTACGGGGCTGCTCTTATCACCTTGTGAAGTGGTCCTTCGGCAAATGGAGTTTTCCCAAAAAAAAGACAAAAACAAAGCTTTGTCCTGATGTTACCGGCTGACCCCTGGACAGTATCGCCGACTGCTGTAGTAGGTATCACACCTGATGGTGGGTGCATCTCCTGCATGTTCCCTCATTGGAGGCTTGAACATGGATGTGGCTGCTACGGGGCTCCCGTAATACTATAATGACCATAAAAAGGCCTGAAAGGCTTTCCTGAAAGGTAATTGAATTGGTCGGGCTTCGGCAGGTAGAAGTGTCGTACCCCCGTTCACCGTTCACGGGGTCTGTGAATGGAAACCGGTCATGGAGCTCACGGTGTAGGAGTTCATGGAGTTCACGGAAAGCGGGAGCGGTGTTTTTTTGGGGGGGGATAACTTCAGCGTAGTCACGAAAGCAGTTTGTAATTGCATTTATAACAGCGTTTTAGCAGTTAAGTCAGTGCCCCAGTTTCAATTGCAGTTGAAACTCGGGCTGCCTTTCGGTAGCAGTCCAGTCAGGGCTCTCGTTTATCCACGAACAGGAGATTAAAAAAAAAACATCCCTTATGCTGTGATTGTGGTCTGATACAGGATGCTACAGTACTTGTCTGGAACTGAACCATCCCACTGCGCAAACGTTCAGGATGCTGCCCTGCAATACCGCCACCACAAGCTGACTCTGCCCCCCTGGAACGTGCAGAGTCGTGCACCGCCTGCGTATCGACAGATTGTGGCCCAGAAGACGAAGGCCGCTCTCGCTCAAAAGGGCTCCCGTCACTTCCACCAAAAAGGTCGCCCCCGCCACTACGTCTGTGGACCTCCTCCAGGTCGCTCCACTCATCTGCCTCTCCAGGTCCTCCTGCGGGATGGTTTGCAGGTCCCGCCCGCTCCTCCAATCCGGGATGGTTTGCAGGTCCCGCCCGCTCCTCCAATCCCTCAGGGCCCTCGTCACCACTGTCGTCGTCTATGGGGTATGGCCACAAAGTGGCAGCCCGAGTCCCGAAAACATCTTTGTCCTCTCCAGGAGGAGCTCTTAACCCACACGGGTCTCGCATCTAGGAACGTCTCTGCCTCTCCCGGTTCTCCTGCGACCTGCTGGGGTCCGTCCCCTACCACGACGGCTAAGTCGCAATGCCTCCCTCGATATCCAACATGGACTCGTCGACCATCCATGGCAATGCAAACCCGTGGCCAGCTCGCTGATGAGAGAGAAGGCGGATGTTGGCCGAGATCTCGACTATTTTCGCAACCTTCTCGAACCCGAGCTTGTTGCGCTTCTTCGTGTGCACAGCCTCGTGGATGGCCCAGTTCCTCTCTGCGGGAGAGGAACATGTCCACATGTGCATGACACAAAGAGCGATGGCGTGCAGCTGCGGGGCGCACTGTCCCCACTTCGACCACCAACGACCGACCTCATACATCTCCACGTCGCCGGTACACCTCTGCGCCTCCCTGTCTCCGTCCCCCCCCCCCCACGCAATCCCCCCTCTCCGTGTGTGGAAGCCGCGGAGCTGGGCACATGCAGCCTCATAATCCGGGCTCGCGACACTAAACCCAGTTTATGTGCGAATGTACGTCTCCGCCTCCTGTACGAGTCTCGCATCGTAGTCGCTGACGACGCCCTCGTAGTACCTCAAGTCCCTGCGACTGGGACAGAGAGGGTGAGCAGCGGCGTGCGCGGGCTCCAACATGTGAGCGTATCGAGCTTGTACCTTCTGCGTAATGAAGTGTGCAACGCCCAATGGAAGTGTGCGGACCTCGCGTGCCACATCGCGAGTTATGTCCTGCGTCCACTGCACAACCCTCGATGTGTGCAGCCCTCCTCGGTCCAACCTACGAAGCATGTCGTACACGGGCTCCATGATGCGGATGAGGACACCCATGGAATCCCACCAAGGACCATGCCGCACCTGCCACCTCACCCACCGAGCCAGCTGAGCAACGCTACTGTCCCAGGGGACCAAACCCCAACCATCGCCGTCCACCGTCCTTTCCAACGCTCACCTGACTGCCAGCAAACGCTCCATCATGGCGAACACGGAGGCGAATCGTGTCTCGCAGGGATAAGCAAGCCCCATCTGCTTGCTCTCCCCCTTGAAGATGTAGAGAGCGACACCATGCTCGTTGATGAAGTGCACCACCGCCCTCCCGCGCACAATAATGTCCTTTGACCACAGGCTTGACAAGCCAATGTCTGACAACATTTTGTTGCAGACATGCACCGCGCACGGCAGCCACGTGATCCTTCGAATCTTCGGCCTCTGATCAGGACCCTGCAGCATGTTTGCCGCAGTGACGTACATTGAGGCAGAGTCCGTGCAGATGGCATTCACCCATCGAGGAGGAAAGTCATCAACCCCGACCCAGCGCCCCCGACGGGCCTCCCGGGCGTGGGTGACGCTTTGCGCGTTCGCGTTCAGAGCGTTCACCCGCGTTCTTTGAACGCGTTCTTTGAACGCGCGTTCAACGTGTTCAAAAAATGAACGCGGAACCTGCGTTCAACGAACGCGCGGCAACACAGCCGTATACTGCCAGTGGTGGTTTAAACAACCAGTACTTGGCCCAGCTATCGATGCCGAGCCTAGAATGCCCCTGCGCGGCAATTTTCGCTGAAGCGCCCGGGTACCGTTTCAAAAACAATTTCGCTTGCGCTTCCAGCCATTGTGGTCCGGTACCTCGAAGCCCTAAAGGCGTAGCATGTTAATGGGAAAGCGCCATGGCCGATTGCTGGGCCAAGTACTGGTGGTTTAAATGCACTCTAGTCGTGTAGGTTTCTGACTAACACAACAGTTACTTTGGGTGGGCCCAAGACATCTCAGCCGTAACACAGGAACAAGGGCCCAAGTCAGACCTGATTCTGGCCCACCCAAATCATGGCCACGCTCAGCTGGTACCCCTGATCCTCTTCACCTGCCAGCAACTGATGAAATTCTTCGCACGGAAAGTCAAGATCACCAGGGTGTTGTAGGTGCTGATCCTCGTTACTTGCCGCATGGAGAATTTTAGCCATTCTATCTGATAGATCGAACGGCTAAAAATTTTACCTCCACAAGGGCAAGGGACTACAAGACCCTGGATGACGTGGCCTCGGACCCAACTCCGCCAGAACCTTCGCAACTGAGAAGGACTGTTCTGATCTAGGCTACCAGAGTGGCCCGGGACCACTTGTCCGGCCAGGCCAAAAAAAAAAAAAAAAAAAAAAAAAAGGTTCAAATCAGAATTTTATTTCATTTTTTATTTCAAATCTGGTAACGAACCTTTTTTTTTTTTGTTTGTTTGTTTTTGGTTTTGCTGAACATCAGGAACAGGGGCCTACTGCGCAGGCTCTATGAGTGCCTGCACAGTTGAGGCCTGTGATTTTTGACTACTCCATCCTATTGGTGGAGAGCAACACCTGTTGGAGACCGGGTCCAGCGTCCCTTGCTATTACCAAAATGTCTTTACTTCGTTTCAATCTTCCACTGAAGTCATCTGGAGCATGGTCCCATTAGCAGTAGGATAGGAGTGTGGCCTATCCAGTGTGACACTGAGTGGCAGCGGGCTGACAGGTTCATTACGAATTTCTGGGCTGAGAAAACAGGAGAAAGGCCACCCGAAGTCACGGCAGAGTGCTTCCCAGCCATTAGATCACAGATGATCTGAGGGTGGTGGTTGCAACAACAGTGAACAAGTAACTGCCACTTTTTTTTCTGGAATAAAATGGACTTCTGTCAGCAGTGATCCTGGCCACTTTTTTTTCTGGAATAAACTGGACTTCTGCCAGCGGTGATCCTGACACCCTCCATATACTCGGTGATTGAAGGAGGGCTCCACCCAATGAGATAATTGCACAACAACAAGTAAAATACTGAAAATCTTCTATCCAGTGGGCCTATGGCTGACCCCACCCTCTTTTGGGGTTGGCCACACCCCCAACGGATTGAAAAGATTCTGGTGGGAAGCTTTCTTTGCACGGGCATGCCCAGTGTTAAGGAGAGGAGGAGGGGCACAAAGATCTCCTTACTTTTTCGGGTAATACATGTAAAATACTGACCGTGGGATCACGAGTACTGCACGCCAGGATTTGGGTCACTCAACTGTCCCACAAACTCTTTTCTATCCTATCCCGTTGCTAGTGGGACCATGCCCCTGCTAACGTCCCTTGGCATCACCAAAATGTACAGTCGGGGCCCGTGATTTTTGATGACTCCATTCTATTGGTGGGGAGCAACACCTGTTGGAAACCAAAATGTCTTTACTTGTTTCAATCTGGTAACGAACTTCGATGTGACCCAGAGGCAAGTTTATGTTTCTGCTTTACATACTTTGTTTTCGGATTTTTTGGATTTTTTTTTTTTTTTTTTTTTTGCTGGGACCTTCCTTGGTCCTTGTACGGTCGGCCCGTGAAAATAGGGTGACCCGGGCGGCCCGGCTGGCAGACTAGGTTCTGATTGGAAAACAAAGCTGAAAAGTACGATGGCGCTGCAGTGCGATGTCGAGTTTTGAATTCGCAGGAATAACAGGGCATCACAGGTCTGCGCAGAGGGAAGTTAGAAACAGGCAGGGCATCGCAGGTCTGTGCCAAAAAAAAAACAGTATTGTGGACTTGTGCCCAGTCCGAAGTTTGAAAGTGGCAAACTCAGGCAGCCACAGGTTGTTGCTTTTTTTTTTTTTTTTTTTTTTTTTTTTGGTTGTTGCCTGGACCGCAACAGAGATGTCTAGGCCACACCCAGGGCCGATATATCTACGTCATGCCCATGGCTGGGCCAAGGCTGAGATATCTAGGCCACGGTCGAGACGTCTAGGCCACGCCCACGGCTGGCCCACGGCCGATATGTCAAGGCCACTCCCATGGCTGGGGAACGGCAAACAAAAAGGGTCTCGTCGCAAGGGTGGTACACAGCCAATATGGCTAGGCAATGCGTGGAAATCAAAATTGTAAAATCCAGATGTTATGGTCGTGAAAGCAGCTGTAGGGGGGCAAAAAAAAAAAAAAAAAAAAAAAAAAAAAAAAAAAAAAAAAAAAAAAAAAAAAAAANAAAAAAAAAAAAAAAAACAACAACAACAACAATAACAACAACAAGTTCAACAACAACTATTGCAGCAGAAAAATGCTCATCGCCTACTCCAGAAATTTTGTAGCTCCATCGATGGACAAGTCCACAGCGACGTGTCTAGAAGAGCTTGAAGGGTGTGCCAAGGATTTTAGGAAAAGATGGGTGTGGAGAGTTCCAGGACGGAACTAGAATCTCCTGTGTTGGTTGCGCTGGGGCTGTGCACTCAAATCGGTAAATCCCCTTGCAATGAGGGCAATCAATGCTGTTCCCAAATGACTATACCAGCACCTGGTACTGTTTTGGAATGCTGGGGACCTGATTCCAGCAGGTGCTTCTCCCCACCAAGAGATTAGAGCCTCCAAAAAACAGGATTTTAGGAAAAGTGGCCGGCCGCTTTTGCTACCAGCCCTGGCCCGAAGCCAAGTGCTTTTACTGCGTATAATAAGAGAATTGTACATGTACCCCCGCTATACTCAGTCTCGGCGCGGTCTTGCATGTATATCCGGACCCAGTTCATTTTTCCACAATACTTAACTTTTCACCTATGCGAAATTCTAGGTGTACCCAGGCCCGCAGGCCCTCAGTTCCAAACCCCAAAATTATGCTCATGCCCTGAAACCAGGCTGGCAAAATTGTGCATGTACCTACACCTATCTGTGTAACACGCCGTACGTCGTACAGAGCTCTGTTCGTACGGCCGTACGTATGGCCGTACGGACGTACGTACGACCGTATGAACCGTCCCATAAACAAACACAATTTTTTTTTGTTTTTTTAATGGGGATGTAGAGTTTTTTTAATGGGGATGTAGAGCCCCATATTTTTATTTATGTTTTTGCTCTTTTTATATTTTTAAGAAATAAAAAATCATCCAAACGGAAAAAAAATAAAAAAAATAAAGAAATGAAAACTGATTGATGATTGATTGATTGATTGATTGATTGATTGATTGATTGATTGATTGATTGATTGATTGTCGATTGATTGATTGATTGATTGATCGATTGATGATTGATTGATTTATTGATTGATTGATTGTTGATTGATTGAATGCTTGATTGAATGCTTGTTTAATT